CACTTCCAGTGGGATCAGCTGTTGAAGGGTGCYRGGTGTGGCCCTTTGTGACATAGTGTGTTGTGTCAGGGCCCTGGGTGATGYGGGACCTTGTGATGYTCAGAGGCCATTGTGACATGGCAGGGGGTGTATAAGGAGCCCTGGGGTGCCCAGTCCCATGAGAGATTCTTTCTCAGCAGGAAGCAGCTCCCAGGATCCCTGTGTGCCAGACAATGTCTGACATGGAAGAGGACAAGGTGAACCCCAACTCCCAGCCCCCCAGCCCCTTGCCCTGCTGTCTGGAAGAYCAGGCCCTCAGCAGGCAGTGGCTGGGSACAGGCAGTGGCTCAGGCCTGGCCTTGTTGGACACTGAGGAGGAGGRGGCCCTTGTCCACATGGATGAAGAGTGGGAATATGACACRGATCAAGAGCTTTCCCAAYTGGAGCATGYKAGCTGCCATGAGCTTTGCCTCTGGCAGGAAGTCCCAGTCCAAGAGTTTTACCAAAGGCAAGAAGAAGTGGTCATCCGGGAAGTTYCCCCATGGGGAGCTCTGAKRCACCAAGAGTTGCATCMRAGGGAGGTAGGTGTCACAGTCCAGAGGGGAGATGGCACAGAGCAAGAGCTGTACCAGCAGGAAGAAAGTGTGACAGTGCAGGACCTCTACCACTGGGACGAAGAGGATGAGAATTATCAAGGATTGTCCCAGTGGGAAGAAGATCTGACATGCCAAGAGCTGTGCCAGTGGGAAGGGGAGGCAGACCAGGAGCTGCCTCCKTTGGAAGATGTGCGAGGCCATCCACTCATGGACCAGTGGGGAGAGTGCATTTGTTACGAGATCTGGGACAAATTCTTGCACTCAGAGAAGGATGAGGATGCCCAGATTTGTGCCCAGGAGGGGCCTGGCTCTTCCAGCAGTATGGGCACCCAGAGGGCAGGAGAGGGAGCTTCTGCTGCTCTGGCTGGAGCTGCTGAGAGGAAGGAGCCTCTGCCTTCCCAGGTGGAAAAGGCATCCGGCTCTTCTGCCCTCAGGGAGGAGGTGCCATCGGCAGGGRCAAAGATCCCAGTCCGTGCCCCACCCTGCCCCCCAGGTTACAACCAGGATCTGTGGGACTTAGCCTGGCGCATCAGCTGTGAGGTCGTGCACAAAGCTTGGCTTGTGGTGGTCCAGGAATCTTCCCAGCAGTCACAGGAACAAAGGGGCCTGGAGCAAAGCACAGCTGCAGCACTGGAAGCAGCAGCTCCAGCAGGAAGGGAGGGAGGAGTCCAAGCCCTCAGTAAGCAGCAGAGAAAGGCAGACAGGAGATCAGTCCTGGCAGAGGAAGAGACCGAGGAGGGGGCCTTGGCTGGGGAGTTTGAGTATTCTCAGAGCRAAGATGAGGAATACACAAAGTTCTCCCAAGGAGAAATACAGAAATACCAATTGGTGTCCCAAGGGGAACCCTGCATAGTGTGGGTGCTGGCCCTAGAAGAAACTGCTGAATGCCAGGAAGAGTGCCCAGGGGAAGCCTGCATTGAGCAGGAGCTGTCCCCAGGAGATGCTGGGGGAGACCAGGAAGGGTGCCCAGGGGAAGCCTGCATTGAGCAGGAGCTGGCCCTAGAAGAAGCTGGTAGCTATCACAAAGCCTGCAACTGGGATGAATGCATTGAGAAAGAGCTGTGCTACGTACATGTGAGTAACTACCAAGAAGTTTTGGACTGGGAAGAAGGCATGAAGCAAGGCCTTTCCCAAGGACAGTTTGGGAGCTCCCAAAACCTCTCTGATTGGGAAGAATACAGCGAGCATGAGCTGTCCCACGGAGATGTTGCGAGCGACCGAATTTCTGATTGGGAAGAGTCCATTGGCCAAGAGCTTTCTGAAGAGTCTGTTGGCCAGCAGATAYCCAAAGAGAATGGCAAGAGACCCTCCTCACAGTCGAGCTGGGAAAATGACAGTGACCAAGACTTTGWGCAGGACAGCTGGGAACAGAGCATCGGACCCACATCCTTGCTGGGGGGGGAGGACGAGTGGGATGAAGTCAGCGTCCTCGAGCTCTGCGAACAAACATCCACAGAGCGAAGCCTCTCCAGCTTTGCAAGAGAGGGGCTCCCTGTGCCTGTCCCTCGTGAGGCTTGGGTTGAGCCCCAGGCATCAGAACTGTGCCCCCAAGGGCAGCTCTGTGCCTTACCTCCCCATCTGGAAGCCCAGGCAKGGGGGCAGGTGCCAGCAGCAGGGGCACAGAGCCTGGTGCCTGCCCCGAGCAGCTGCCCCCTCGGCCAGCAGCCGGCTCCCCACAAGAAGTGGCTCTCTCCCCTCGAGTGGGTGCGGTTGTTTGGCCTCTGCTGCTGCCTCTGCCAGRCACCCCAGCCCCAGGATTAGGGCCYRGCACCAGCCTGGACCCTGCAGATGGCAGCCGGCCCGCAGCCTGCCCCACGGCCCGGGGGAGACACATGCCCGGGGGACATTTGCCCGGACATGGCCCTGCAGCCTCAGCAAACCCCCGCTGCTTTGGAGCATCCCCAAAAAAAAACAAAAAAGAAAAAAAAAACAAAAATCAAATAAGAATAAGAATAAGAATCACAGTTAAAAAATGAAAAAGAAAGAAAAAGAATTAGAATAGGAATAAAAATAAGAACAATAGAAGGATTAAGCATAAGAGAAAGTAAAAAAGGGATAGGTATGAAAATGGGGGAAAAAAATTACTAGGAAAAGGAATGAGAATGATAATAGGAAAAGAAAGAAAACAGAATAAGAGTAAGAATAAGAATAAATAAGAATAAATAAGAATAAGGAAAAGGAAAAGAAAAAATAAGTTTGATGAAGAAGAAATAGTAGTAGTAGTAAATACTAAAAAGAAGATGAACTGGAAGAAGAAGATGAAGGTGAAAGATGAAAGATGAAGATGGAATACTAGTAGTAGCAAAAAAAATCATTATTCTAACAATAGTATCAAGTTAAAATACACATCCTCACATCCTCCAGCATCCCAGAATGATTTAGTTTGGGAAGGACCTCAAAGATCAGATTCTCTTCTGCTCTCTTTCTCTCTCTGACAACTCTTTCCTATTTCTTTCTATYTCTTTCCCTTCCATTTCTTAGTRTATAAAATCCATGTGAAATAAAATTTGYATGTGGTCATYATATGGTCTCATTTGCACCTTAATTCGGGCAGAGCTATCTCTSCCTAATCTGATCAGAATGCTCTCTGCCCAGTCTGTGTTTGTGCTTGGGATTGCCCCGACCCAGGTGCAGGCCCTTGTCCTCACCTTTTGGAATTTCATGATGTTGAGATGGGCGTGTCCAGGTCTCTCTGGAGGACATCTCTTCCCTCCAGCATGCTGACTGCACCAGTCAGCTCAGGGTCATTGGCAAACTTGCTGAGGGTGCCTCAGTCCACTGTCAATGCCACTGACAAAGATGTTTAACAGCACCAGTCCTAGCACCGACCCCTGAGGATGCCTCTTGTCACTGCTCTGCACTTGGACATGGAACCACTGACTACAAGCTTTTCCATGTGTCCATCCAGCCAATTCCTTACCCACCAAGTGGTCCATCCATCAAATCCATCTCTCCAGTTTAGAGAAAAGGATGTCAAATGCACAAGTTGAGGCAGATGACATCAGTAACTTTTCCCTCATCCACCAATACTGTTACCCCTTTGCTCTCTCAGTCCTTAACTTTTCCCTTTGCGACTTGGGTGGTGTAGCTGAGGCACTTAGCAGTGAACAGAGGCATGATAGGCATTGAGTGCATCAGATCAGCCTTCTTCATATCCTAGGCAATCAGTTCTCCCATTTCCTTCCAGAGAAGTCTGACATTTTCCCTAGTCTCCCTTTTATCTACAACATGTTCCTTCATGATGCATTTTATTTAGAGCCTGTTAAAGGGCAGAAGATGGAAAACTCATATAGAAGCACTTAAATGCACCAGAAGGCACAGCACACACTGGGTTTTATTATCTAGCATGCTCAATCATGCTCAGAGACTGCCATACCAGCAACATTACCTCCAGAAGTCTGTTCTTCCAGGAATCTTTCATTAAACTGAAGCTTTCTGGGGCAAGCTCGTGTGTGTGACACAGATCTGGCACTATTTGACTATTGCCACTCTGCCCTCTGACTGCACAAGCCCCTCCTGAAGCAGTTATGTGCCCAAAGGAGCAGCCTCCCACCACATCAGCTCCTCCTGAAGTAAGAAAATCTAATGAGGGACTCACTACCCACTCTCCTCCAGGAACAGGTAGTGTCAGTTTAGAAACTTTTCCAGAGGAAACAGCTTTAAAAAAAGAGGGTTTACCTCTCTGGAGAGGTACCATAGTATTTCTAAAGGATGTGAAAGGAAAAGAAAACGATTCCGTAGGGATTTTTCTTCATTATCACCCCACCTGGAGAAGTGAGCACACAATGAGCAAAGGTCCACACATATTGATTTTAGAGCTGGGGAAGTGTGCAGCTAACAGCTTTTTAAGTATCTCCATTTTCAGTTACTTCAACAAAATTACCAGTGAACAGGCGYAACAAAGTGAAAGTTTTTCTAGGAAATTGCAGACTAAAAATGATCATTTAGGTTGTGAAATGTTTCTTTTCATTGAAAGCAGAGCGCTTTCAAACGCGGGAGTTACTGTGGGCGTTTGGCAGCGTCGACTTCACCAGACATTTCCCCCAAACCACAGCCTGTCCCTGTTTCAGGACCATCATATTACCTGTCCCTGTTTCAGGACCGTCATATTACCTGTCCCTGTGTCAGGACCATCATATTACACAGTTTTGTTGCTCGGAGACTCTTTAAAGCCGAGGAGCGCTTGCTGGGGGTTTGACACGACCGGCCTCTGAGGGAAGCGCCAGCACCGCGCGGCATTGAGGAACCAAAGCGGCCCAAACCGAGCCATCCCGGCTCCCAGCCCGGCCGGGTCTGAGGGAGCAGAGCCCTGGGATCGGGCAGGGCGCCCTGAAAAGCCATCTCCCGGTCCGGGCTGGCGAGGAGCGGGGGAAGGGACGGGCGCTCCCCGCGTTGCCCGGCAGCGGCAGCGGCGGCGGCCCCGGCATGGCGGCGGGCGAGCAGCGGGGGCAGCTGCAGCGGGAGGCGGCCGAGTACTACCACAGGCTCCGAGTGCCGGAGCGGCTGGAGACAGCGCTCAACACCCTGTTCCTGGAGCGCCCCAGGGATCTCTACGGGGAGCTGGTAGAGGGGGGTGGGAGAGGCTTTTGCTGTGCCCGCGTCCGGCCTGGAGCGGCCCTGTGGGTGCCCGCGGTGCCGGGGCCGCTCCCAGCCCTCAGGAGAGGGGGCTCGGCCGCTCGGTGTCACAATTCCCCCCTGGGCTGGGAAAGAACTGCGATGGTTCTGTGTTTGTGGCCAAGTCCATGTCCGCAGCAGCCGGGCTTCTTGTCCTCTGCTGTTTGCTTGTCTCGACACAAAACCAAACCAATCCACAGATGGACTGGTGTTTGTCCCTAACAAAATTTCTGCTCAGCAGTGATGRCTCTGGGGCCAGCGGCGACAAGAGACTGACTGGGGGCTGTTCACACTGCAGCTGCTCATGAAAGGCAAATGGGCCTCGCTGGAAGGGTCGAGAATCAGACCAATTTTATCTCTTCCAACTTGGCACAATATTGTTGACTGTAATCCTAATGAAACATCAATTAGTGGCGATACTGGAATTGGCAGCACTACAGTAGCGAACAACTCTTGGAAAAAAGAATTCTAGTATGGTCTTTGATGGGAAAGTGGCTGTGAAATTGAAACATTTCATTCCATCTTAYACTGTTTCCCATCTCCAAGTGTTTTGCTGTCATCAGATAAAACTGATAAAACCTTTCCTTGCTTTATGTGGTAGTTGGCATGTTCCCCTTCTTTATAGCTCTAAGTGATTTGTAGTTTTCCCATTTGGCAAATTGTGGTTTGGTGACTCTCCAATGCCAGATTAAATAATGAAACTAGTAAGGAAGTATGTAGAAATCTTCATTAAAAACATAATCCTTTTTTTAAACCAACATTGGTGTTATTAAGTGTGACCAGAGTTAAATATACTGGATTATGATAGTTCATCAGGCTCACTAAAGATCATGTTGAAAGAAGAAAGAGAACTCTGCCTACCAGAAATCTTGGTTTCCACCTTTCTCACAGGGCTCAAAGCTTGCTGGAACATGTAAATCATAGAATCATAGAATATGCWKAATTGGAAGGRACYCATAATGGATTTGTTCAGAGGTGGATTTGATCGAAGCATCTTTCATGGCATGAAAACCTTTTTGCCTGGAAATTTGACTTTTAATTGAATTCTTTCTCTTTCATTTAAGGCTAACTACTTGTGTGAGTTTTCAAAAGCTCCCGTAATATGCAGAATAGTTGGAAGAAGAGTTTTTGATGGAGTTTTTCAACCAACATTAGAAGTGGAAATATACTGTATAGTTAGAAACTATGAGAAGGTAGGAGCTGCTTCTTCCTGTCTTATTTATTTAACTAGGACAATATCAGGGAGAGGTACTGTTCTTCTCACATCCCAAGAAATACTGTATTTTCCATCTTTTTGACAAGACATAAATCCCTGTGACTCAATAGTTTAGTGTGGTAGCTAGGAAAAAAATGTAGTGAAAAGTTAGACAGTGACAGCAACTATGAAAACCTTGTTTTCCATGAATTTGGCAATATTTTGTGAGTGGGATCTGATAGTGTATCTTTGTATATTAATATTTTTCCGTCTTAACAATAATATAGGCTTTCCTTACACCCCATGCTAACTTTATGAGTTCCCTTTCATTTCACCTTTTTCTTTAATTTTCAGATCCTTATAGTTCTCTTTGTGTGACACTYTTTCAGAAAAATACATTGCACGTGAAAAACAGCACAGATGAAGGCACTTCTTTTACACTGAGCTAACAGGTTGATGTGGGTGATAGTAAAGTCAAATATATCCATTTAGCATCTGCAGTGCAAAGCTGATGGCTCACCTCTTCCCTGTCTTGAAATATTGAAGTTACATCTTTGCAGCTCTAGCTATTGTGGARTAATTGTTTGTACTTCCCCTTAGTTAAACTCTGGTTCATTTAATTCTTGAATTACATGTAACCTCATAGATATTCACAGGATGTAAAGTTAATACTGTTAGTGCAAACAACTAAGGGAAAACTGTAAATGATGTCTTCCTTAAGTGAATTTTCTTACTATCATTTATTCTTCATCAGGACTGAGAGATAGGTTTAAGKTACCTAAGTAAGACAAAAGTAACTTACCATGAGGATGGCATTAAGTATGAGTGCTGATGAATCATGGTACAACAGGCTACCAACAGCTACAATAAAAGGTGTCCTAATGACTGTATGGTCCTTAAAATAACTCCATTCTATTGTGATAGCATAATACATGTATAAAGCAGACCTGTCAGAGGGGTTTTGCCTATGTAGTTATAATTTAGGTCAAAAAACTTGAAGCATGTCTGCAATTACCAAAGTACAAGAGGCTACAAAGAAGGTACTGGATRAGAAAAGACAAGTGGAGYAAATAGATTTGKARATACACACTTGTAGAGTTGCTAAGRACATATATTTCTTAGTCTTTCAAATGACATTTCCAAGTTAGAAATTCAATAGCATTTTAAACCTTTTTGTATTGTTTCATGGTCTGTGGTTTTGTTGCAGAGGATTTGTTCCATTGTAATAGCTTCTCATTCTCAAATACCTGAAAATGCTTTACCTGAAACAATTGAAGCTGATGAGAAAGAAAGAAATKACTCTGTTTGTGCTGCTGTGGAATGGGTCAATGGACCACTGAAAAAAATGTTAAGAGGCTTGAAGCCTATTGACCAGKGTCAAGCTGATAAGATACTTGGGTAGGTCCTGCATATTGTGAAAATTATTGYATTTGAAATATATACCACTAATTCATATTGTTAATGAAAAACATAGAGTATTCAATGTCTTTRCTATTTTGGTATTTTTAGGATGTAATGTCTGTCCCAGATCCATTTCACTACATTATTGCCTGCTTTTCATAATTATGATATAAAAATCATACTGATTTGGACTGCCACACTGAACATAGAGAGTGGCAAACAGACCTAATTGATTTTCACATGGACTAGACTTGGGAAAACCTTGATAAAGGGAATAAAGACTCAGTTGGAAAGTGAGTCTAAATAAGATTTAATGCATTGCTTACACTACTTTATATATCTTACATATTTGGTTTGCCTGAATTGGCTGTCTATGACCCATGGGTAAAGTTTCCACTTCATGCATSTAATTGAAATTCAGCCATCTCTGAGTTTGCAGCCACACAATAACGGATGTACAACTCACCTACCGGCTTAGCAACCTAGGCCAGGCTGGTGGAGTTATGACAGAGTTATGACAGCAATTGTTACTACTCATGCAAAGGAAATAAATCCTTCATGCTCTGATTGTCTGCTCAGAGCTGACTTTCAACCCAGTGTGTTTGCAAAGCTTGCACTAAGGTTTGTGGTACTTGCTCGTGGTTCATTTTGTTCAATCAATGCTGCAGATGACTACCAAAAAAGAGTGATATAATAAATGTATGGACTTCTYGAGCTTCACACAGGGAATCTGTGGCAGAAGCTCAAATACATGCACTTAATCTACCTCCTAACATGTTCTTTAGCCTGTATCACGTCTACTTATCACGTGTCTAACAGTGTTTTGACCCAGTAATTTTTATGCCTCTTCCCTCAGTGAATACTTTGCAGACAGGCTAGAAGAAGAACAGCAAATTCAAAAGCAAAAAGAAGAAGAAGAAGCAGCAGCAAAAGCCGCTCTTGCCCCTTCTCCACCCCCAACACCTAGGCCAAGAAGAAGACCAGGTTGTACTTCATTTAATTTTAGTATTTTCTGCAATACAAATACTGATAAAGGTTCTGAAAGATATCCTGTCTCATGTTTAAAGAGTTTGGTTACTCTCTCCTGACCTTTTTTTGATTGCAGCAGTTTCTGCAGCAAGATGAGGGAGGGGAAAATACAGTTTCCTCATCATTCACATGCAGTGGTTGAACAGAGTTTCTGCCTTTGTTTTACTGTTGGTTTAGACAGGAGGTTATTACTCTTCAGAGTGAGGAATAAGAATGGAGGAGGATGCAAATGAAGAATAAAAATGAAAATTATAAGGAAAGAAAAGGAAATCACAGAACTGAGCAGGAAAATGGAACTAGAATTATGATAGAAGTTGAAAACAATTGAAAGAGGGAGGAAGGAAACTTTCCTTCTGACACTGAGAAAAGGAGGAAACACAGAGGAAAGCAAAAGAGAAAGAAAGAAGGCTATGAGATGGGAATGATGGGTAGTATAGAATAGAAGTAAGCAAACAATCCTACTGAAGGAAAAAGGAAAAAATGGTGTGAGACCAGAAAAACAAGGTAAGAATATATGGCCAAAACCAAACAACACAAAGGGAAAAACTACCATATGTTATCTCCATGTATACATTAAACTCAGACAAAAAAGGGTTGTTATCATTCATTGGAAGGGCAGAAAATTTTGGCAAATTATTATTTTAGTCAGGCAATAATGTAATTTTCCAAGCTGTTTATGCAAAAGTTGAGAATTTAAGGAGCATAATAAAGAAGACTGAAAACATGCTTTTGAAAGGAACCTGAAAAATTATGTAATGTAATTGGATTCAAACACAGATAAATAAAAATACATATTTCAGTGGCTGAAAAGAAACAGATTTGAAATGCTTTTGAAACCAGAGTGAGGACAGATACTCTGCTTACTTGTAAGGTCATTCCATATAAAACAACAAATTTAAGGTTTTGAAAAATGAACTATTATTTTTTAATAATAAACACACTCTCTGTCTTGTAGTAAAGATGACGTCAGTGGAACTCCTCCCACCTGCAGAACCTGCTGAACCAGTGCTGTGTGGCAGCTTGGCCATTGGGGGAACATCACTTGCCATAGCAAAGGCTGGGGCCACCATTAGACGTGTCCCATTGTACTTACATATTGCACAGCTGAAACACCATCAGGTACTTGTAGCTTTTGTAATTTGGTTTCTTTTATCCTAGTTATCATAATTATTGCTGATTTCTGCAGCCAGTTSTGACAGTGTTATTAAATTTACTTCATAGAATATACTCTTCACACTATTGCCTGTAGCAGTCTTTGAGCCCTGTGCCATAATTAAAGTATGTAAGAAATTTTTCTGATTTTTACTTTTTTATTTTCGCCTGGTACTCCCAATTACAGAAGTCACCTCAAGAAATAATGCTACCAATCCCAATGGTTACTGTGTTGAACTGTGAAAAAAAATTACCTACAAAACTGAAATTAGTGAAAGAAGTTATATTTATACCACCAGTTGAGTTATCACTCAAACAGGTACTGTTTCTTTTCTTTTTATACAAATGTATATTCTACAGACATCATACTATCTACATATGTAATTTTTTTTGTTGTTACCTTGTAAGGCTGAAGTTTTAACAGATGTTAGTGCAGAATTCTAACACTAATAMAATTAAATTAAGTAAAAAGATGATTTAAAAGAAGAACCATGAAGATTTAAGTTTAAAATGTATGTTTTTATAAAGGAAAAATAAATAAGGCATTGAAGAGGTTAAGGAATTGTGTTACACAATAATAGATTTTGCTTTAGTAGATTATAAATATTATCAGTTGGTTGGTGTAGCATACAAAACAACAAAACTCATAACAAATTCACAGGAAAGCGTTACATATTAGAGAATAAGTTGYTTTAAAATGAAATTGTGACACTAGAAGGGAATACAAAGAGCAAGAAGATGGGTGAGGCAGATGGGATCAACCCTCCCTTTTTTTTGTTTAGCCATGTGTTGCATTAAAGAATGTATCTGCACAAGATGCCTCCATTACGGCTGTGATTTCTACTTTGTGTGCTTGTGACCTGAACAAATAGCTGAGCTCGATTCTCTTTCTTTTTTGGCTTTCCTTTATTTTGGATTGTCCCCCAGAGCTGTTAATAAGGTCACTAATTCTGCCCCGTTCAAAGCCAGAACGCCTCCCAGTGCTCATGGGAGAGGAGGAAGGTGTTTGCTGCTGTGCAGGACACGAAGCTGTTTGTCCTRTGTTGTTGGCAGCTATGACTGACTTCTGCCCCCTTCAGTACTCCTTTACTGGCAGTTTGAGRAAATCTGAAATGTCCTTTACCAAGTTAACGCTCAACATTTGCTAGATCAGCTGAAAAGGAAAAAGAGCCTTGTACTAAAAGCAATACATTCATTTAATTGGAGTGTTCCCCAAAATGTTTAAAATGAAGACAGTGATTTTTTTTTYYCCYCTGCTTCCTGGAAGTAGTCAGAAGGTAGATACATTCAATCTTGTCAAAGTTTAGGAAGTCTTAGGCTGAGTCATAATTGTGAATGGGGATTATCATCTGATAAACTTCTCAGATTTTAATGCAGACCTGCCTATCGTTTACTTGTTAGATTTTGGAAGGGCTACTTTTGGGGAAGGCACTGCTTTCCTTGGCATCCCATAATCAAATATTCCTGCTCATTCCACTGCTACAAACTCTTTATCATTGACTGCATTTTGTGGGYGGAGAGTTTGTGTGAAGGGGTCTGCAATGATTTGGGGTTTTTTTTTAAGACTTTGTATTAAAATTTGCATTTAGAATAGGCGTGTCTCTCTTCTGATTTAAGCTGCTAATAACAAATTAATACAACTTCCTTTTGAAGATTACTGTTATTTAATTTCAGGGCATAGAAAGAATTCTGGATATTCAGAAAGAAATGATAAAACTGCTGGAGTCTGCAGGCAAGGTACAATGAAAATGTATACTAAAACTGTGATGTATTTAATTTGATYTTTTTACTGCCACTGTCCTTTTAAACATACAAGTGGAAAACATCTAACTGTTACAGGCTCATAACACAAAACAGAAGATGTGTTTCTCTGACAGATGAATAAAACATTGGCCATTTAGTGATTCTAAATTAGAAAATTTGGAACAAAGCATTATTCTAAGCATAAGGCTTTCTGTTTACCTGAWGAAATAGACTGGGAGTGAATGGTATCAGAAGGAACATACAATATATATTCTGATCTTGCTACACCTCTCACACACAGTATATTTTATTCAAGGTACTATTACTGTAGGAGTAAATCAGTCTTGGTRTGTGCATGTGCTTTTTGGAAAGAAAAGTGGTTGGGTTTCTCCAAGTACAGGGTCTAGATTCTCATTTCTAAGATCTCCTGTGTTTTTGATGGTCTAGGTGAGAATGTTTTGGAAAGGAAATGATGGTTGGACAGAAGTCCACATAGAAATAAACATTTTAAATGAGTAACCACCATAATACAAAAAATATTAAACTATTAAATRAAGCTATTTCCTAGCTTTAATATTTGCGATCTTTTTAGACCAAAATTCAGTCAATTTTTTGTTCTTTTTTTTCTGAGGTGTCTCTGTCATCTTTGTGTTTTTCCATGGAATTGATTTCTTTCTTCTTTCACTCCAGCAGCCTGGTTCACAAGCTGACAGTAAGAGAGGAAGAACACAAAATTCAGGGAAGAAAGCTGCGGTAAGGAAAGAGATTTTAACTCTAAGCTTTCAACAAGGTATTAACAACAGCAGGGAACCAATATGTTCTTAAGAAAGGAAGCATTAATCTACATCACTATTTTGGAAAGGTCAAGGCAAGACTTAAATATTCCAAATGCTCATATTTTACATAGTAATTTAGATTCTTCTGACTATACCTTCCCTTCCTGTGGGACAGTAGTGAAAATAGGGGAAAATTTCTAGGATCTGGTMATTTTTCTCACGTCAATTCATTTTACCAATCCTGGTAAATTATCCAAATGAGCATTTTTCAGGACTGTAGCASCTGCAGAGAACATGCCATTCTGATCATGTAGGCCATAAAATATGACCTGTAAGTCTTGCAGATTATGCTGTTTCCTAACCCTGGGAGCAGAACTGCCCTCTTTATCATTCTGCATTCAGTTCCCAGGGCCAGTCTGAGGTTGTGGTTAATGGCAGATACAAACCAGTAGCTAAAGGGCAGTGCTCACAATATTGCAYGGAACATTATTTTATATAACTCAAATCTTTTTTGAGTTATAAGGGATCTTTTTTATCCCTTCAAAACCTGTAGTTTGTAGATGAGTTTYCCAAATAGTGGGATAGAAATGCCATGAAGGTTTTGCTCTTCATTCTGAGACAATTTAAATATTATCAGGTGAGAATTGTCACTGTTGTGAGGTACAAAAAAGGAAAGGATGAACAAAAGCTTTGTTATTTTGCTGTTGCTTTAACAACAAAAAATTCATCATCATTCAGTTGCTGGCCAATGTTTTCTTGGTGGGCTGTTTCCATATTAGTATCACAATATGTACTGCAATCATAAGGTAGAATATTTCTGTAAGATGTGCAAGAGGAAACAATGCATTAGATTATCTGAAAAAAAATCCATTTATTTCAATGGGAGAAAACAAAAGGAGACAGGAGTGAAACTGAGTTTAAAACTGAAAAAAAGGTACATGTTAATTTGAATTTTTTGGGAGAAAAAAAAAGGAAAAATGGCGAAGTAGTGAGGAATTCATTTTGCTTATAGAAGTAAAAACTAGACAGAGAAAAATGTTTTTAAATAGATAAACAGTGCTTTTAATAGAATGTTACAAGGCACAACACATGGATGCCTTGAAAACCACATKAAACTGCAGATTTAACCTCCATCTGAATTGCAGGAAGATATCAGCATTTTTAGCTGTCTATTGCTGCATCCAAAATTCACAGACCTTACAGTTAAAAATCAGTGTTTTGACCTACACAAAAACTGAYAACAGTAAGATGTGAAATACTTGCTCTTTACAACTCTGCTTGKGGCTTATGTCCAGTAATAGTGTCCCTGAAGCAGACAGCTGCAGGCAGCTGGGCTGGAGGTGTTTGCTCTCTATGAAATTTGTTTCTTCTAGAAGTATTGGAAGATTCATGAGGTTTCCTGAACACTGCATAGAGTCAGTATCAAAATTGTAGTTGAGATAAATGAGTAAAAGCTATTTAGAAAGGAGAATATGGTTTTGTSTCAAAAGGTTGGYCCACAGCACCAGAGCATTCATGACMACTCAGCGGTTGTTAAGAGTGTCTTTAAAATAATTTTTTAAACCAGTACTGATCATAGAAGACTGAGATCTACATGACTAATCATATTTCCAAAGACTATTAGCTCTCTACTCATTAGCATTTGATATTCCCTCTTTCCCAGAGAATTGTCCTTAAAGCATCCAAGATTTCTGAGAAYACATTTATAGTTTGATGACTAAAAGCAGACTGAAATGACTATAAAAAATGAAAAAAAATATAATATAYATGTGTGTAAATAAAGTGATTATTTTTGTTTTTCTTTCAGCCAAACATAACAAGAATATCACGCTTAGGCAGCCTGTCAATAGGATATGATAAYCTAGAACAACTGCTGCTCCTAATGGAAACAACTTTCGACAATATAGGTCTGGAGCTAGGAAAAGATATGTACTTAGCAATAAATTGTGCTGCTCATGAATTAGTGGATTATGTAAGTTATTTTTCAATATCTATTTTCTTGGGTTTTARGAGGAATGTAGATATTTGTTATTTATTGTCACATTGCAAACCCACCTACAAGCTCCTAACTCAATTTTTTTAAAGGTACCAATCAAGCAAACAGAAAGAATTATATCTGCATTTATAAATTCTGGTTGAATCTGCTTTTTTTTTTCCCCCATTATATTAAGCTCTTGCTTCTACTTCTTTTTCCCATTATATTAAGCTATATCTGTTGTTTWCTTCAAACCATCCTAACATTTCTATGTATTTTTACTATGGTGTRTTTATATACAGATTAGTGCTCATTTTGTTGTGCATCCACATTCCTTTATTAATTYTTAGGTTTTTAATGTTTTCATTTGACAAAATCTATCTCCTGAGGACGTCTTACAGTTCTTGCCCCTTATTCCAAGATCAATCAGATTTTTCTCTAAGCAGAAAAAGAAACTGCCATTTCTATTTAGTAGCTCGTGAGATTTTGTGTGTTTGGGTGTTCTGTAGTGCCAGAGCTTCCATTACCAATATATTTTGGAAATTTTGGAAAGCAGTTGCTCTCCTGGATGTGATRTCTGTACCTATACCAGAATGTGCAAAATCTTCACCACTGAATTCTCAGTAATTTTGTCATTGAACTGTTCAAGTCACTAAAGCAGTGGAAAAGCAGTGGATATCCTGGCAGAGTTTCACAGTGTGCCCTTAAAATTCCTCCCAGGCTGTGGTTTGTACTTCCCAGAATGACGAGACTGATTTTAAACTAGTCTTTTCTTTTCCTTTTGAAAGGGGAAAGAGGCAGGGAAAGGCAGTATCTTTTGAGCACTGAGGATGCACTCGTTTCCCCAGCGATATTTTCTTTATGAAAATGAGGGAAAAAATAGCGCCTTTGTTTTGGAAAAGAAAAATGAGATTTTTTTTCACACGAGATTCAATAAAAACGTCAAATATTGCTAACTTTGTGCTGTAACTGTGTAACACTGGCAGYGTTGCCTAGAAAATGCTGAAATAGATCTCTCTTCTTTTGGCAGTGGCATTGTTCAGGGACTTTGGCATGAGCCCACTGGAACCCACAGTGTCATTTTAGGCAGAGTTTTCTCTAACAATGTGCTGACAACTCAGACACAGGGTAAAGCAGAGGAGTGAATGCCTTCTGACTGAGGCACACACAGCCCACTGCCTTAACAGAGACACCCCTGTCACAMGATGGGTACACTCTGCTTTTCAAGGTCTTACTTTTCTTATCTTTTATGCTTTTTACTTTACCTTCTAGGAAAAAGGAAAATATGAAATAGTCACTGGAACGTTTAAAAGTCCTGATGAAATGGTCCCCATGTATGTGGAAATGATTGAAAATTAYCCTTTTATTATTGCATTAATAGATCCCTTAAGAAAAGAGGTAAGATACCACAGTGCAGTCCTTTAAAAACTGATAATATTGTTCAATGGCATATCACTGACCTTTTCTCAATTTTACAAAACATGTAAAATACAAAGCTTCTGGTTTTTGTGTCTTTAAGCACAAAAATATCACTAGAAGATGCATCTAACAATTTATTTGAAAATATTTTATTCGAAATATCCTAATTTTTCTATGCTTTTGACATAATTTCTGATGAAAAATAATCCTGGCATTAACAGAACACAGTATACATACTTGAAAGAATTACAAGAAATGTGATTGATTCTACTCGGTAAACCACTGTTATTTTTATTGCATTTTGCTCCTTATATACACAATTCAAATTATAAAATGAAATTTTTAAATTCAAGTGTATTGCAAAAAATCATGGGTAATGTAATATTCTATTATATTGAGCTGGAGAAGCAAAAATTTGAACATTGTTGTATATTCCTTAGAATCACCAAAAATATTTACTGCAATTCTTTGATCCATTCTGCAATTCTTTATCCATTCTTTGTGATGGATATTTGTAAGCAAAGTGCTGTCACTGGCAGCGTTGCTCGGCAAAATTTTTAAACTGAAAGTAAGACACCATATATTTTCCTCTGTGATTAAAGTTAGAGGAGTTAATTAGTGTAGCCAATCAACTACAACAATAAAGCACAATACTATTAAGCATGTTATCAAGCTCTAGATGGRTAAAAATGATTGTATAACTGTAAATATTYGCATTTATACATAAGGTTAAATTTCCACGTGTTACAAGAAAAGGAATAAAAACTTAATTGCTGCAGAACCTATAATTGTAGRCCAAGATTCTGCAGTTGCACAACTTAATAAAAATTTGCTCTRGGTGTCAAATTGCACTATATCTTAAAAATAAATACAGGGAGTTCATTTTCATGAACAAAACACAAAGACTGTGATTGAAGGCAGAAGCAAAGTGGTGTTGGCTTTGTGAATCTGTTCAGTGCCTGAATTAATAATTCTAAAACTGATAACTGCATCTCATTTTGTCCTTAACTGGAATTTTGAAAGTTCATTTTTTGCATAACTGTGTTTAGCATTACCTCACTCTGGTTAGCCTTGCCTCCCTGTGTTGTTTGATTCTGGCTCTCTGAATTACCATGYTCCAAAACACCAGGTTATTCCCCAYTCCTGCCAGGGCTGCAAACTTCCTGGAGAATTGTTATGAAAGAATGTATCTGCAGTGTGAGGATCAGCAGGAGAATCACAGCAGATTGTGAAATGCAGTTGGGAACAGAGTACAGAGTTAAAGGAAACATCATCACAAATCTCCAGGATTTACCCATGCCACATCTTTGCTCCAGATAATTAGATCCTTGAGGATTAGTTCTGGTACCAATTCAATATCATTGCCAGACACCAGACAACTTTGGTGCTTGAATTTAGACAATTGTTCAGCCTCAAAAATTTCTTTTTCTCTTAGGCACAGGCTTGAAATCCGTACAGGAATGGCCCCTGATGTTGATTGCAAGTAGATAGATACAAAAATCTGTCTGATCCACAGACCAAGAATAACACTGGCAGAATTGCAAAGTAGAAATGTTTTTAAAGTGAGAACTTTGCATTCTGTGGACACAAAACAAGCAAATGAATTRGTAAATTTCTTCTTTCAAATTCTTCGCGTATCCTTGTCCTTTATTTAGCCTGGACCATGTGCCATTTGGACAATGCATTAAAATAAAGAAACAAAGACCCTAAAAAATGGAGCTTTGCTGGAAAAGAGAGCATTGTATTCTGCTGTTCCCTATGGGTCCTGTGTCTCCTGTTCATTATTGTATGTTCAAACAACTATGACACTTAAAATATTAACACAGAAATAAATAGAACAATAAAAAACTATTTTAAATTCCATCAAAATAAAATAAATTTCAGGAAGGAAATCGAAATAGCAACCCCCGACACTTAATTTAATTTGAAATATTTTAAACTATATTTTATGCAAATAGTGTTGATTAATTTCAGATTAAAAATTATGTTTTCTAGCAAAATCTTAAAACTCAAGGAAAATCCAAATTGTATATTTTCTTAGGTCAACAGATCTGAAATACAATATAAAATTTAGTATGTTTTTTATGAATGATATATTTAAAATTAAACCCAAATTATTATTTAATTTTTGCCTCTCCAGTTAAGGTTCTCCTTCAGTTTAGTTTTTTTAATTCCAGTTCATACTTCATTTGTTTGTGCAGGACAGAGAACAGTGGAAAAATATCTATTGTGCCCTTGGTTCCAAGTGCTACCTGTTTGCTGAAGATGCTGCCACACACATTTCCAAACTCACAACTGATGAAAACATTAACATAGCAACGTGCAGTGGTGTGGTCCTAAAATACATTAACCAAACCAAGGTATCAGACCTCATAGAACTTACAGGAATTCTTGAGGGTGAGTAAAGTGGGAAAGGCTAAAACCAAACCCTACAAGCTACACTTGTAAATATTGCATCTTTTTATTTAATTATGGACACTTCTAATTTACACAGCACTTCTTGGGTGAAACTGAAATTCAAGTTTTGGTGCACAAATCTCTGTCCAGGGGCCTAAAACAGCATTCAAGGCTTCAGCTATAGTCAGTTAATACACTGTGAATGTTTTGAAYATGGGTGCCCTTTGACACTGCTGATCAGTGTCATGCACTTAGATATCAGAATTATAGAAAAGATATATGGTCAACTCACCTGAATTTTAACTAAYACTAGTGTTAATAATGGTGTTAATAATTAAAAATCCAAACAAGTCCAGACTGTTTAAAATTGCATTTATTGACTACGTATTATTGAGCCTTTGTGGTAACAGAACTCAGAACCTATTCCTATTCATTTCCTATGTAAGGTTTCCCTTTGTATCACATTTTCTTTATTCATTTTATACCCAAGGAATAGATGGACAAATTTAATATAGCAAAGTTTTCTTCTTATGCCTTAAAGACACTCAGAATTGCCATATCACAGTGAGTAAACAGCAACTAAAAGATTTCATTCAGTCAGGATGCTAAATTCTTCTTCACAATGAAGAAAAATCATTACTATAGTGAGGAGCACATTTAAAATAAATAGCACAGCCTGATCAGATAGATCAGCAAGAGACAGAGACTAGGACAGGATGTTAAATGTTCACTTATCTATCTGAAAATAAAGCAGAATGCTAATGTGGCAAACAAATAYAATTCATGTTTTTATGAGATGGGTTTTACTCCTGTTTGTATTTAAGCTTGGATAGCCCAAGGGTAAAAATAGAATAAGAAGTCCAAACAATTTCTGTGTCAAATATATAAAATATGCCCTAATGAAGGTTTTCCCTCCCGTTACATATAGGTCAAAGCTATATTACCATATTAGGAAGTCCAGATGGAGAATCTTTAGATGAGAGCCTCGTGGATCTGGTAAGTATTGAAAGCTGTTCAATTGCAGAATTGCAAAAATACTGCTTTTAACATGTACTATTTTTTAAGGAGAAAGCCTTTTTGTGCTTGAGAAAGAAACAACATTTTACAAAATGGGCTTTTTCTAGAGAGTTGCTTTTTTTCCCTACAGAGAGTTGTTATTCTTTTGAGTTTAAARAGAGCACACAGGAAATTTGCCAAAGCAGGGAGTATATTCAAAAGTGTGTATGATCCATTTGCTTGCTTTAGTTGACAAGAAACTGTGAATTACTTAAAACATTCCTAGTTTATAAGTAGTAGTAATAATATTTTAAGCAAAAATTCTTAACACTACTATATTTAGTCTTTTGCAAATAAAATTTCATTTTGTATGCCAACGAAAATTACTGTTTGCATCCGGCAAATCTTTCACAGAGAGGTTTTATTTCTCTGCGGAGAGATGAGGGTTCCAAATGAGAAGCAGGATACCGTGTTTAATTACTGGGAATGACTTCACTTGCCCRAGTGAGGAGTTTTTACCACAGCCCTCTCTCATTGCAGGCTGTCGGCCTGGGTGCCAGGTTTGTCAAGTTGGGAGGTCTGTCCCGAGGAGAAAGGGTGGCCAAATACAACCGGCTGCTGGCTATAGAGGAGGAACTGGCCGCCAATGGAACGCTGCGTACGAGCTTCTTTCTTACTTTGTTTTCAGCCTGCCATGAATGCGGGCACAAAGATTGCAGGGAGAATGATTGAAACTGCACCCCAGGAGGGAAGCCAAATCAAAAGGCTATAAATAAGGGCTGACAAAAAAAACCTAGGATAGCACTTGCCACAATGTATATTGTTGTCCTAATGGATTATCTGTTTACTGAATGTTAAAATAGACCCCTTCTTGAGGAGTAGCCTACATTAAGCTTTTTTTTCCAGAATTAATTGGTTGGAGTCTTGAAGCCCACGGTGCAAAAAGGAACAAAACAAAAACCATGCATGTAACGTGTCGAAAAGCTGCCAAAATGGAATTTTAGGCCAAATACCCCACCTCCCTCTAGCCCCTAAACATATATTGCTAACAAAACTTCATTTCACAACCTCTTTTGTATGTTACATTTCCAGCAAAATGTGTTAGGAAAGCTACAACTGCATGGGTAAGCCTTAAATAAAACCAAAGAAAACCCCAAGTTTACGATGCACATTCAGCCTTAGCCACTTGTATGCATCTGCCTGCCTGTTTCAGGATCTGCATCTTCTTTTTACACTGTACCAAGGCACTGTTAAATGCTTAACAATTCATTAGAGCCACTTCTTACTTGCTCAGGTATCAATCAAGCCAGAATAAAGACATGCAGTCTGAAGGGGAGGCAGAGAGACAAGGAGAGGAAGAAAGGAAAGAAGGGGTTTGTAGGAATTGCATTATGTCTAAGAAAAAGGAACATGAAGCAGAATTAAGTCATTTTACCCTCTGGTTTCTAATAATTTTCAGTGTTCTATACCTAGGGTAGCAGCACTTGACATGCACACTATAGAGCAAAGTTTTTAGTTGAGAAATTTTATTGAAAATATTTTGAGTTTTTTTAAATCTCCCCCTTGCTCATAAATAATCATTGTAAAAAATAGAAACATAGACAGAAATTCTCCTTTTTTTTGCTAAGAAAGTAGTTTCACAGAATGCACTTTTCAAAAACAAGACAGGTAATTATAGAACTATGAATTTTAACTGCCTCAGCAGAATTAATATATTCCCTCCTCAAATGGTATAGTCTAAACAAAGGCTCTCGAGTCTGACAAATATTTAGACCTATATCTGATGAAATGAAGCAGCTACAATCCCCGACACCGWTAATCATTTGGCAGAAATAAGCTCCAGTGCCTAAATCAACAGCAGGGAAATAGTGAGAGCAGGTCTGAGCTGCATACCAAGCTCTTCATTTGGCTGGGCTGGAGCTGGGAATACACTGGAGAGCTGTGCCGAGGGCACTCTAAGTGGCTCATGGCTGGGAGGTGACACTGGCCCATCAGGAGTCCCCAGATCCAGGGGGATCCAGGCTCTCCCATTGCCTGGCCCCTCTCCTGTGAGGAGTTCAGAGCAGCCCCAGTGCCACCAGCAGCTCCACCTGCACGGGSTGTCACCTCCTGGGTGACAGAGCAGCCTCCCTTCACCAGGCAGTGCCACAGGGCTCAGAGGCACTCAGGGGTGTGGGGGCATCGTGTGTTTGGCACAGGGGGGCTGAGGGCAGGGAGAGAGGAGTCAGAGCTGGGAAAAAACAGTGAGAGCTGTTGGTGACAGTCACTGTGAACTGCTGGTTATGGGATCAGCACTGGGACCGGGGTGAGGCAGGGTCAGCCGATGGGAACCTTGGCAAGAGCACCAGGGCAGAGGGGGGAAAATAGGGCAGCAAGGTGAGATGGTCAGTGGAGAAAGAAATGCAATGAATATCCCAGCTCGGGCTGATGTGCACCGATCTTGTAATCAAAGTGCTCCTTTCTTTCTAAAGATCAGACTTTTAAAAGTGTTTCAACTCTTATAAGCATCATGTGGCATTTTAAAACATTTGTGTGCACCAGAGATTACAGCAAAGCTCTGATGTGTGCATCCCCAGTTACAGCAAACATGAACTGCTTTTTTCTCTTCTATTTCAGGTAAAGCAAAACTTGAAGTTATTGATTGTGCTAAAGAATCACAGCCAGAAGAACAACTTCCTGATGTGCTTCCTGCCCCAGAGCAGGAATAATTGCCTCCACAGCTCTCAGTGAGCCCTGCAGGTTCACAGCCAGCCTGCTCAGTTCCCCCAGAAAAACATGCTAACCGAGGCTGTCAACATTAAATTTGGGACAAATTTCTAAGAAAAAACATTTTACTAAGAAACTCATATATTAACTATTCCTAAATACATTTATTTTCATTCTGCTGTGAAACGCATATAATAAATTTTCCCTAATCCATTTATTTTCAAGCATTTCAGCCAAGCATCTCTAAGAGATTTCAAATACTGGCTTCTCTTTTCCCAGGGACCACTGCCTTCAGCTGAAACCAAGTTAACTGAGCAGTGACTATAGTCTGAAAACACCACAAAATTCCATGCTGCATTCACAAATTGACAAAACAAATACTTCTGTGTTAAGTCCGAAACGAAATGTTTGTTTTGGGAAAATCAAAACCTCTCTCCATACAAAGAGCAAGCTGTTGACAAACAGTAAAAAAAAAAAAAAAACCAAAAAAAACCCAAAATAGAACATATTTTACAAAAAAAAAACAAAGGCCTTGACTGTTATGCTCCTCCATCCCCCTTACACCCCCTCAACGCTGCTCTGACATCCAGCCTGCAAAGGAGATTTTGCTCCAGTTGTAGCCATCAAGACAAGTGCATCAGTGCAAACCCTGAATGTTGGGCACAGAGCTGTGATTGCAGCAGTAGGAAGMAGGGAGTAACAAGTCAATTCCACAAGGTCTGGGAAACTTGTCAGGAGTCTTTTTAATAAGCAACRATGAAAAGTTAAAGAAATAATTTATGTTCTAGGTAACAAAACAGTTTAAGTAAAAGAAATGCTTCTTGAAAAACTTCTGAGTTTTGTATAATTCGAAAATTTGAACATATAATACAGCAGCAATAATTTGAGGGAAAAATACATATATGAAATTTTGCATTTTAAATTCAGTGTAACAGACAACTAAGTGAAAAGTTAACAACCAGAACCAACTGCCTCCAAGAAATGAAAATATCAGTGACAGACAAATTTCCCCAAGTTTATGAACTGTATGTAATTCAGTAATTAGATCAAGTCCAAGATTTTTGTAGCAAACATGCAAAAACCACCAAAATAGATGTGAAACCACCACACTCATTACTATCATTTTATTTTTAGGAAAAGCACCAGACAGTTGCATGCAGAGCCAAACCAACAAACTCAGAACATTCATCCTTCAATACTATCACTGTTTCAAATAATTAAATAAAAAAGAATCCAAGTGCATTCAAGTACGTGCCCACCCAATTTCAGTTACACCAATCTTTAGGTAAATCCCTGATTCCATTAGTTCATTATAAAAGAATGAGATTCTGTGTTCAATTTAAAAAGAGACTACAATGGAATGTGAATCGGCAGTGGAGCAAATCAATGATGTTCCTATCTCACCAYGGTCATAGGAATAAGGGCTGAGGGAACTGGGATTTGTGCTATCAAATACAGACACCTAAAAGGTCACCTAATAAAGAAATTAATGCCACCAGTGTGTGCCAGGTTCAAAGCAAGGGCTCATTTGTTAGCACTGTGAGCTTTCAGCTGGGAGTTCTCAGAATGCTGATTCCCAATAATTTGCAGTCTTAGAATGAATCCCAAACGCAGCCCATACCCACCGGAGCCTAAGGCAAGTTGTTTTTGTGCAGCAGTAAAAAAAGACTCCAATTGCAGCAGCTCCCAATGTTTCAAAGTGTAACATTGAAACAAAACCCAGAAGTGAGTCCTCTTTGCAAAGCTTTTCATCCAAATGAGAACACCAATCCCAGCCCACAAACCCCTGACTCTGGCAATGACTGCCAAAAGTCTTGGTGGCACGATGAGATGCTGCACTGCCTCTGCTTTTCAGTCTCTGTCCCCTGGCAATCTGAGACAGAAGGGTTGTGTTTGTGCTTTTCATTTCCTCCCTGCRTGGGGACAGCAGTCAGGGGACCAACAAGATCTTGGTTTAAGTGGATATCAAAATATYTTTAGAGCAATGTGTCTAAACACATTTTTATTAATAATTAGTAACACCCTCCCCATACTGAAGCTGATGAGGGTGTAATCACTTACAGGGTCTAACCCAAACCTGTCCAACTCAAGAGGGATGCAAGGGGCTTCTGGCAAGCTTTGGAACAGACCTTTAACAAGGCATCTTCTCAATAAAAGAAGAGTTAAGAAAGCCTTTTCAAATCCATTTTTAAAGGTAACTGACACTATCTAAGAAATTAATAACCATACCTGCAAATTAAAATGGGAAAGGGATTTTGAGTGACACACAGTTATTTAACACTTCAGTGCATGTAACAAAACTGCATACAAAAAACCATTTCAATCTGTATTATTTCTGTCTGGAGTACAGACCATAGCCCCTAGTAACACACCTAAGCAATTCACATGTCCAGATAATGAYTCCCAAAGGTTACAGCCTGTCAGAGTTACAATTAACAGCTAGAACTATCTGTTTCTTTTATCTTCCCAACATTAGTTTCTTTATGCAGTGGCTTGCTTTTCTCTTCTTTCACTTTGTTCTGGTTCAGGGCATTTTCAGACATCTGATCCCCACTGGCGGACACAGGATCTAAAACTACCACGGATTCGGTCTCTTTTTCACTGCTGGAAGCTTTTCTTGTAATTTCTGTGTGACTCGTTGATCTADGGGAAAAAGAATAAAATATATCAATATAGATGACAGTGCACATATTCAGAAGAGCATAAATGCACAGGAAAGTATTTCTGTTAGTAGCACATATGATCAAGACAGGTCTGCTAAGCTAATAAATAGATTTATGGATTTAACAGCTTTTATGTACAGACAGCAGTGCACAAAATGCAACAGTCATATTTGCCCTCCTGGATTATTTGTTAAGCCAGGCATGGAAGATGAAAAATGAATTCACAAGGCACTGAAAAATAACTTCTCCACACCTCTACCCCAGAGCCACCTGCTTGGGGCTGCACTGCACAATTCTGAGGTAGAGTAACCAGGTGTTCCCTTGGCTGCTGCTGCTCTCACTGGGAGCAAGTGCAAAATGATTTCTGGAAATTCACCTGCTGGGYTTACTGAACTACTGGGGGTGTTTGACCCACACTCTGCATGGCAGAAATGGGGTAACACCACCATTGTTTGCAGTGCAGGGATTCGTGYGGATAAAAAGCCTCTGAGTGGGGAGGAAGGAAAGGTCAGAGACACCCAGGTTATTTGTCTGAGCTGGAATCAGCCCATAAACACTAAGAGCACACCAGCATGGATGCACTGCCCACACCCAGAGCCCAAACTCTAAAATCCCAAGTGCTGGAAGGTCCTACAYGCACTGCACTGCCTTGTCTGGAGCTTTGTTTCTTCCCTTTTCCTTTTTAAAAATATTTTCATGCTCATTTGTAAGGAACAGTCTTCCATGCTGGTGAAAAACACCCTTGAAAGGAAAAAGTAGAACCCATTGGAGGCCAGAGAAAGAAATTCAGCTACAGGATCCATCTGCTATGAACTGCCCTTTATTGTGACAGTCTTTGTCCTAAAGAAAATGACAAAGAAGAAAGAGKTCACCCCATTCAACAATTAGAACATGGGGTAGGGAATGCACCACCTCCCACCTGGTGGGGAGAGAGTAAATGAACAGGTGAAAACAAAAAATATAATCACAGAAACAATAGTTGCTGCRCTTTCCATTTCAGAAAGAATTTACTCAGCTTGCTACTGCAGYGCTGGATATTGCAAATGAAATTCCATGCTCAAGCTTTAATTACAAGAATTGTCTCTAACATTAGAACTTTGGTGTAAGTTAATTAATGCAGAAATTGGCACTAATAGATACAGTTTCAGACTCATTTGATTATCATCAGAAGCTAGTGATTTCAAAMGGAAAATAATGCTTATTTTATGCAAAAGTTGCCAATCATTCCRGAAAAATACAAGGTGGGGTATTTTGAATGTTACAGCAAATTAAACTTTTTAAAGCAGTGTAACCAGAAGGGGTTATTTTAAAAAGTGCTACTTTTGAAAAGCTGATTGCCCAACACTATAAAAATGGTCAAAGCCATAAATGCCAAGTTCATTTTTATTTCATTTTGGAGGTAACTATCTTTCAAATCCCAACAGCTGGACTATTTAATACAATCTGGTGAATCAAAGTATAATTCTTCACTGGGCTCACAGTGGGGAGTCTGCATTAGTGTATGGCAGCATTCCAACAACTGATGCACAGCCAAACACTCTGAAGTCTGTTTCATTTATAACAAAAATGGATAAAATGGCAATCATATTTACCACCTTTCAAAGGACAGAAAAATGAAAGATGTCGATATAAAGTAGTTTAATGGAGAAAACCGGTGATTAAATCAGTGCTTGCAGCATAAAAATAAGAATTACTATCCGACTTTGTTGTACTAGCATTGCCTTCTTCAAATCCTTTACACTGGTGCAGCATCAGCCTGACAATGCTGCTGTTACAGCTGAAGCATTGTTAAAAATTATTAACCCTATTTATCAGATATTCACAGCTTACTTTCAACAGTTTGTCAAGAGCAGAATGTTTCAGTGCAAAGAATCAACATAATTTTGGTGCTCCTTTTCAAAAAAYACCATCTACTGTTACAAATAAAGCAGGGAAAAGCAATGAGTAAACACAGAGTTTGCACAGTTCTGAACAACTCAATTTTGTCCAGCCAARGTATTTGCATTTAGCTCCATGCAAAGCTCTTCCCTCATTAAGATTGTTAATGCTGTCATCAATATTCTTGTTATTTGTCCAGCTGTATATTTAAGCCAGAAATTGAGACCCTAGCTCTACTGTGATCACTCACACACAGTTGTTCACAAGTCTGCATATATTTTATGATTAAACACATAAAAYCTGCACTGTGAAATACAGATGCAGGTGTCAAATGCATTTGAGATTAATTCTGTGGGATATGCAGTGTGCCATGCTTTGTCATATGAGAGTATCAAAAGCAATATATTCAGTATATAGTTACCGAACCTACAGAAGGTGTAAATACTAAAGGGTTAATAAAG